ATTCTGTTGTGTTGAACTCATAACCTGTTGAACTAAATAGGTGGCCCGATACGCTACCCGATACGCTACCTCTGCGCAAAGTGCTGCAAATGTCAGATAGGAAGGAAGGGCCTAGTGGTTTGAAGGTAAGATTCCAAGTGAATGTATTTTGCTTATAGCTAGCTAATTATGCAAATCGTTGGGAGTTTCATTACTCCTCCTGGTTTACTTAGGTACGACTTTACTTGTTTCCAACAGAGGAAGCTAAGCTAAGGCCACCGACTTTACGCTCTTTCCAAGAACCAGATCATGCGTAGCGGATCGTATTCCGCTACTTTTGAGTAATAACGCCTTACCAAGGCAAACGAACACCTCTGTTCAAATTTGAAACTGTATTGAATTGTATTAGTTGCGGCAGAGCCGCCAATATCTACAACCCTAGCTTTTCCTAACTAATGTAGTGCTACCTAGTATATGTAGCAAAACCTAATAAGTATAGTAATATACATTACCACTGGCAATCCTGCCACGTCGTGGCTTCTTGTTACGGTGTAGCCACACCACTGTGTGCTTACACTAACTGTGTAATACACATTCATGTACGGTCGCACAATCTTGTGCAACCCGCCCATTCTTACAAGGGTACGTGTAACCCCGCTACACTCTCCCCCATTAGAATTGTGAATATCTGCATTTTGAATTTAACGGTCGCCTCATTCGAGACACGCGTGTCTGAGACACCTTTACGCTCCTAAGGACAACATTAAACCTTCTCCGCTCTATGAGCACTGTGTCTACGACACGCAAAACACCCAGTCTAGTTGGTTGAAGGGTGCCCGCGGGCAAAGCCCTTCTTCTGTTTCTGCAGAAGGTGCATCCCCAGAAAGTACGCCCGCGGCTTTAGGGGGAGCATATCCCAAGGCCTCGCCAACACAACGCAACAGAACGCACCGCACCGGGCGACGGATTTTCTCGTCGAGAACTTGGAGGAAGTCGACTACAAGTCGGGCATTAGTTTCTCAGCATGGGTGGACGAGGATACTGAAATACGCCAACGGCGTGACGTGAGCCCAGCTCAAACCTGCGGACATCATGCCCATTCCCCGACCTCTCGGTTCCTGGGGGAAATTGTATTATTACCAATCGCCTTGACGAAGCACAGGAGCAGCAACTGGAGGAGGCTCACAGGGCGGCTCTCCTGCGCTCGTATCCACGTTCGGTCTGAGACCTTCGTGTGGAATACGGCTTTCGCTCGGCGGATCTCGCTACTGACGCAAAAGACACGATAACTCGATTGTTAGGCATCTTAGTAGTCGGGCCTCCGGCCACTACACAAGCTAAGCTTGATCAGCAGAGAGCTCTTCGAACTCGCTTTTTGATATTCCACTTGACTTCATACTTAACAGGAGGTGCTCCTGCATTGCGAATTATCCCTGTGGTGCTCGCCCCTGGCGAAACCGCTGCAGATAATGAGGATCTTTTTGAGCGATGGGTGCAGCGGCACCGAAAACTTTCTTCGCTGTACAACTGATGGCAAAGTCAAAAGAAAGTGGACGTGCTCGTTGAGTGCTATCTTCGATTTGAATTTGTAAAACTTAAGGCGCAAAACGCTGACTTCGTGCGTATTGTCGCCCTGCGACATATGGAACAATGCATGACACTCCCGCGAGCTCTGTGGTTTCTCACACGGGTGAGTCTACGACCACAGCAACTCAGGGTCATAGCTTGAGATCAGCTCATGGCCCTCCGGCTTCTCGGGCTACTGCCGAAGAGCGCGGTCCGCAAGACGCAAGACGACTCGAAGCGTCATGTTCCTTCTGATCATAAGCGTCTACGACGTCTGGGTAGTCTTGCCGAAGTGGCATTTGAATTCCCTCGGAGTTTGGGTATCCCTGCCACCTCACAAAATATTGGTTTAAACCCCGACGACGTCGACCCACGAGGCGTTTCACGTGTTAGTGGACGCCACCATTCTCATCGAGAAGAATCGGCGGCGGACGAAGACAACTGGGTCAATCGCCTCCGGTGACTCGCGATGCTTTTCGAGCGTTGGATGACAAAGTCCGTCGTCATCGGCACTCTACCGAGCATCTCCCCGAGGTCGCCTACCGCTTGAGAAAGACCTCGATAGGCTGGAGCACTTTGTACACCAACTGCCTCGCGTTGAGGATTATCGTTCTTTGTGGAAGCGGCTCCTAGCCGTCGAGTAGGCGAATACGTCACTTCGTGTGGCGGTGGTGAGCCTTGTGCCGTTTGGAAACGGAATTTGTTGCACTCCGTGCTCAGAACCAGTTGCTGGTTCAACTTCTGGGTAGCTGAGCGCCTTTGGGTGCCGCCCCGACACCAACGCTTCCACGTTCACATGTGCCGGTACCCGGTACGGCTTAAGCATGCCCACACAAAATACCGGGTGGGTGCGCATCCTTCTTGGAAGGTTCAGCGTATACGAAGACCTCGTTTGGCCACGACCTCAAAAGATCCAATAAATCGAAGACGGAGATTCCTTTTTAAGTCAGCAGAAACTGCATGTGTACGAAGGTTTCAGCATTTAACAAAACCAGGTTTCCGACTTCAATGTTCTTAACATTTTTTCTTCCTTTCTGTCTGCAGATTTCTT